ATTATTTTTATTTAGTTAAGTTTAAAATATTAGTATATATTTAATTTTTCTTTTATTTTTTATTTTTTTATATTTTAAATATAAATTAATATAAAAAGATTTATATTTTAGATAAATATTAATAGATTATTTTTTCAAAATAAAATTTTAATTCTATCTTATTTAATTAAATTATTAAATATTAAAATTTATTTAAATGTAAAAATTTTTATTATATATTTTTTATAAAAAAATTTTTACTAATAATAACTTTTTTTAATTATTATTTCTTAATTTACTATATAAAATTTAATTAAAATTAATATAAAAATTATATAGTAAATAATTTAATTACTTAATTTTGATTCTAATATCTTTATAACTATTAATTTAATTTTTATAAAATTTAAAATATTTTAGTTTTTTTTTAGTAAAATAATACTTTATTTATTATTAAATTAAAGTATAATAAAATAACTAAAATAATATAAAAAGTTAATTTAGATTATTTTTTATTTAATATAAAAAAATTATAAAGATTAATTAAAATTTAAATAATTTTATTAAAAGTAATTATTAATTTTTATATTGAAATATAAATTTTTTGTACTAATCTATATTTTATAATATTTATTTTTAATTTTTAATATTAATAATTAGATAATTATTTTTATTTAGTTAAGTTTAAAATTATTACTTTTAAATTTCTTTTATTATATTTCTTATTTTTAAAAACTTTTTTTCTTTTTTTCTTTTTATTTTTTTTTATTACTTATTATAATATTTTTATATATTTATATTTTATTTGATTCTTAATTTTTATATAATTTAATCTTTTTTTATTTTTTATTTTTATTTTAAAATATATCTTATATTTATATATATAATTTTTTTATTTTGAAATTTATTTTTTATTAACTATATTAATTAAATTTATATAAAATCATATTATTTTATAAATATTTAAACTTGATTCTTTTTTATTCTTTTTATATTTTTTATATATTATATATTACTATTTTATAATTATATATTTATATAATTAATCTTTTTATAATTATATCTCTTTATAATTATTTTTTTTATAATTATTTTTTTAAATTTCTCAATTATTAATTAATTATAATTAAAAAAATTTTTTTATAATTATATCTTTTTTTAATTATTTAAATTTACTTTTTTAAGTATAATAATTATAAAAAAATTTAATTATATTTAATTTTAACTAATTATATTTTTTTAATTAAAATTTTTTAATTTTAGCAAATTTATTTTTTTATTTTATTATTCATTTTAAATAATTTCAAAATAAGAAATTTAATATATATAAATTTATTATTATTTAATTAATAATTTTATATATTTTTTTATTCTTATCATTTTAGCTTGTTACTTTTATTTTAATATTTTATATTATATAAGTTAAAAATATATTTCTTTGTTTTAATTATTTTTTACTTAAATATTAATTAATAATTATTATTTCTAAATTAAAGAATTCAGATATAAAAATTTCTATTCAAGTTAATTAATAATTATTTATTAATAATTCTTCTTTTTAATACTTAATTTTTTATTCTATCTTATTACTTTTTATATATTTAATTCATTTTTCTTTTTTTACATTAAGTTTTCTCATTTTTTTTATATATTTCTAATTTATTTTCTTTTATTTTTTTATTTTATTTTAATTATTTTAATAGAATTTTTATAAATTAATATATTAAAGAAATTATAAAATCTTATATTATAATATTAAAAATTTAAATTCTATTATAAAGAATTTCTTAAATCTAAAATATTTCTATTGTAAATATTAAATTATTATTATATATAAAATTAAATCATTTATATTTTAATATAATTTTATTAAATATTTATTTAGTTATACTATAATATAATTTTAACAGATTCTTGATAACTAATTATATCTTATATTTGTAATATAATATAAATAATCTTTATTATATCATAGAAATTAAGTCAATTTCTTAAAATAAATGTAATTCAGATTAAATTATTATATATATAAAAATAAGATTATATTATTAACTATTATTATTTGAAATGCTATAATATAGTCTTATCTCTCATTTATATTAATTTTACTATATTAAATTATATATTAAATAAATAATAGATTAAAGATCATCTATATTACATTGAAAATATAAGATATAATTAGCCACTTATTAACTATTATTATTATTATTATTATTATTATTATTAAGAAAACTATAAAAAAAAGATCTTAAATTTATTATTCAAAATTTAAATATATTAAAATTATAAATTTTTATAAAAACTAATTAATTAGAAATAATATTATTAAAATCTTTAAAAAAAATACTATTTAAAGTTTAGAAAAATAATTTTTGTTAAATTTTAAGAAAAAATAATTTAAAGTTTAAAAATAATATTATTAAAATCTTAAAATATTATTCAAATTTAGAAATATCATTATTTAAAATTTAAAGAAATAATATTATTTTAAATTAATAAATAAAGTCATAACTTTTATATTCAAGTTATATAATATAAAAATTATATAATATTAAATTATAAAAAGACATGATTATAAAGAGATTTTTTTTAATTATAATTAACTAATAGTTAGAAAATTTAAAAAAAGATAATTATAAAAAAAGATAATTATAAAAAGATATAATTATAGAAAGATCTGATTATATTTTAAAAATTATATTTATATTTACTTTTTTATAAGCTTATATCTGATATATAATAGTTATCTCTTCATATATTAATACATATAATAATAAGAATGATAATATATATTATTTTATTATAGATGCTTATCTCACTCTATTCTAATTACGTGAATACAGATCATTTTTCTTATAAAATGACTAATAAATTCTAAGTCACTATACTTTAATTATATCACGTAATCAATATTAACATAAGATTTTTCGTGATCCCACCCTCTAAAATATTATGTAATATGTCATTGTTCTAATTATTTTGCAATTTTTTGACACTCACTCGCTGATCCGGATCAAATTAATCCGGATATATCCGAATTGGCCGAGAAAACACGGGCTTTCTCAATATATAAAAGTTTTTAATTAAATTTGTGAAAGAAATTTTATAATTACTTTGTTATTAGCACAATTAGAAAAAATCTGAGAAAGCGCCGTATTTTAATGCACGATGATCTATCGCAGAATTTTTTTCGCAAAAATTTTCCGTGTTTATACACATTTCGAAGAGTAAATTAAATCATATCATATCATATTTGATAATATAAAGAGGCAGGAAAAACTAGAAAGGAACATAATTTTTGGTTTTGATAACGAGGTAAAAATACAGAGAGCTCCGTATTTTAATGCACGATGTTTGATAACGAGGTAAAAATACATATAGAATTTTGTACTTGTCCGTTCAAATGATAATAGAAGTCTTCAGGCATCTCTCGTATAACTTCAAGAAATTATTTTATTCAAAACAAGTGCATTTTCAGTATATTAAGTTGAAAATTACAAACGTTTGTTACGTGTCTTAGCGCGCAACTAGGTGTTTTGAGAACGTGAATAATTTTTCTTCTGATTTTGGATCACAAGATTATTAAAAACTATTCATTTATTACTGCAACAATATCGCTAAAGTCAGCTTATTGTTTCGAGGATATATAGATGTTAAAATTAATATTATGTACTTCACTATTTAATATTACATGAAGTAATCTCCAATAAAAAAAAGTTTGATATACGTAAAGAAAATCGGGAAATTTTCTCATGATCTCATGATATGATAACGATAAATTTTTAACTACTTCAATTTTTGTGGAAAGATATATAGTAGTTAAAAATGATGCAAGAATAGTGTTACTTGGATGCTTCGCGTAGATTCCATTGCCATCTCTTTGTAGTAACGCGAGAATTCACTAGTCCCTATTCATGTATCCCCCCCCATTATTTCGGGCACGATAACTCGGCGTCCGATTTTTGGATTTGAGCTAAAATACCGACAGTAGATTCGCCTCGATAAGACGAATTCGAATGGTATAGATATTTTTGGCACAAATCCGTCGAGTTATTGTGTCCCGAAATAATGGGGAGGGATACACCAAAATTGATAGTTTACCTGGTTATTTTCTCCTCTTATTAACGCCCAGTGAGTTAACATAGTAATTTACGGCTTGTAAAATTCATTGCATCGTGTGGCTATAATTTAAGTGCTAGGTAAAAAAATAATAAGCTGAATTTGTGAACTGAGATGTTCAGATGGATTACCTTGAGAAAAGCCGTGCTTAAAAATATTAAAAAAATTGCGGAAATTACTTTTGAATAGTTTATGGCATTTAAATCCAACATACGAAAGTGCAATTAATTCATAATCGACTTACCTTAGATTCGGTCAAAGAAAATTTGTTAAATACTGTAATGCAAGATGATAGTAATTAAAACCCGATTTTTTTATGTGACTACATAAATTTCTCAGAAAGGTCATTAGATAAATTAATATGAAAATGATGTTTCGTCCCCCAGCCTCCTATACTCAAGTAATAATGTAATGCCTACCTTTTATTAACACTGCAAGATTTCGATGTAGATTTTTGGATGATTGAAGTGACCTTTTTCGCGCCACCAAAAATCCTTTTTTAATTACACTTAAAATTAATAGTTATTCATATTTGAAATGCTTGATGTTTGGTTATCAATTTTCTTTATTATCCATTAAAGTTTTTCTTACTTTTTCTCTCTCTTCATGAATGAATATGATAACAATTACAAAATCTTCATAAAAATTATTTTCCATGTTTCTTATAATCTTGCATGTTTGATTGAGTTCGAATAACAACAGTAATACTAATATTATATTATAGTGGTAGCAATATTATAGATTTGAACGTTGTGCACGTGCGTGTTGCGAGTGTGAATGCGAGTGTGAATGCGAGTGTGTGTGCGAGTGTGTGTGCGAATGTGTGTGTGAATTAATGAATTATTGAATTATTGAATAAATGCTCATTATAATTATTTAGTGGTTGTTTTCTTAACACGTCAACTTAAAATCGGTAAGAACTAAAATTCGAGAAAAATAAATTTTTCGTATCATGATTAATTATTCTCAACCAAAGATTATTTAAGACGCGCGTACTTACATTTCCAACTATCGCTAACGGGATATCAAACAGGTCGCGTTTTATAGTGAAACAAAAAGTACACGGCACCTGACGACCTTGTGGACTAAGTAAAATACACGTGGTCATCACTGATGGAGTGCAATTGTCAAAAGCGTGAGCCGCAAACTTTTCCCAATACTCTACCGCAGATTGACTATCCATAACCTAAAAAATAAATGTTAATACTATCCCTTATCAATATAACAATTCTACCGAAATAATGAATAGTACCTCGTAAATATACATAGCCTTCCCTAATAATTGATCACGTGACCACTGTGTTAACAGCGAAAATTCTTTACCTACGAGGGCTATTTGTCCTGTTCGCCGCCACACAACAGTCGGCGTTCCTGAGAAACTTATTAATTTTTCAAATTCCTAGAAGCAATACATCATTAGCCCAACAAAGGTTAATTATGATGATGATCATTTCAAAAGAGAGAATTTCAACATCAAAAAGACCAACCAATAATGTTCGTTGAAAACATTTTTCCATGAATATTAGATCCTCTTCCGTAAGATTCATTATTAATGCGATAAAAGATGGTCGAAAAGTTGCTATTGCTCGTACGATCCTCTCAATATGTTCTTTATCCATTCTATGATTAATCAAAATCAATTTATCAGGAGAAAAAATACATGTTCAATTAAGCAGATCACCACAGCAGCATAGTTTTTTTTACAAAGATAGCAATAGTTACCTTTCCCTGACCCACTTAACCAAATAATGAAATCCTTCGGTATAAGAGAATGGCTTTGTAATATTAGCATATACATTTTGAGGTGTATTTATGTTTGATTTTCTTTTTCCACTACTATCCCTTTTCAGTCCATGATTCGCAGGACCAGGAACTGGTGTCGTGGCTATGGTTGGTGTTGTGGATGTGGTTGGTGTTAATGCTGGGGCAGTTGTATTAACAGTAGGCCATGCGGTATCTATCATATCAATATTCGTTAAGCCAGGATGTGAACTTAATGACTCTGTTGGTGCAGAGTTTAGCATATGATTCAACATGGAGTATTCCATCGTCACAGCTTCCGAACCAAATCCATAATTGGCCGTTGTCAAAGGATAGTAAATGATAGGATCCGCTAGATTATCTATATATTAATCGTAAACGAAATAACATTAGAAAACTTTGTTCTTTGATGAATTCGTTATGTTTGATCTCTACAAGCGAGACAATGACTTCTTTAACGATCACTACTTTATTATTTCTCCTCTTCTTCCTCCTCCTCCTACTGCTCCGTCTCCATTAATGCTATTACGATCACCCAAAAATAATTATTTCTTTGCCCGATCGCAAATAATTCGTCCACTTAAAAATCTAAACATACATAAATTTACTCCTTTATTGATCAGTTAATATAGAAAAAGAGAGAGAGAGAGAGAGAAGGAAGATCGGACTGAAGTTTCTGGATATATGAATTTGCAAGGTAAATTGTGTGTATATATGTGATTATGTGATGGGTAAATGATACTCACTGGGGTTTTGTTGGAACCCGCTATGCATGTAAACATTTTGACTCGTCGCTGATGACGGGACAACTGTGTTTGGATCAAATGCGCCCATAAAAAAAGGATGATTCATTATTTGTGCAGGATTATATGTCATCACAGGTGACGATGATGAAGTGGATAATGGGGTTGATGGAGGAGTTGATGGTAGTGGCGTTGTTAACGAATTAAATGATAACGGTGGCAGGGAATGTAATTGCAATGGCGGTGGTATTGGACGCATTGATGAGTGACGATGCGTAGAATCCAATGATTGATGAGGTGTGACATGTGTTTGATTTGGCATTTGCGGCGATTGCAAAGGCTGTGTATATTGGTAATAGGAAAATTCAGTTTGTAAAATGTATAAATTATGGGGATCGATTAATTAATTGACACGTGTCATATTTATTAATATCAAAGATTATTATACCATTGACGAAGGGTTAAGATATGCAGAAATCATTTGTTGACGTTGATATTGTTGACGTTGTAAATGAATTTGAAATTGTAAGTGTTGTTCAGGAGATTGATCAGAATTGGTTTGAGGGGGAATATACGCTATTGGTTAGTAAAAAATTGAGATCTGATAGTAAGATATATACTTGCTCCCCTCCCAAAATACAAAACAATGCAAAATACTTAAAATACTGGTATTCCTAATCAAATATCCACTATAACCAGCACCAAAAGTAAATGATTATCACAAATTTTTACGAACCATCATAGTTTGGATCTTGCAAATATTTTGCCTTTTTCCGTATACCGTCTGCACACGTCGATGCCAGATCTCTCTTTATGCACCGTTGACAAGGTCTAGCTGTTTTGAGTATTTTTTTTTTTTTAGAGGAAAATAAATAAATATTAGAATCAATCATTTATTATATAGCGTTTTCTCACGGATCGGTTGACAATCGATTGATTAATAGATCGATCGATTGATCAATCCATATTAGTTTAGCCAAACAATAGCTTTTATTTGGGGGTTTTTTTTTTTTGAGAAAATTTCGCGTATAGGTAAAGCTCAAGATAAAAGAGAAAATGGCAATACAAATGAAAATGGGAGAAAGAACAAAGAGAATTACAAATAGAAAATTACGAAATAAAAAAAGCACAAAATAAAAAGCGGAAACACAAGAAAAAAAGCAGCAAAGCAAAAAGAAATCACTTACAGTCATCGCAGGTTAAGTGTGCCTTCTGACAGTGAAAACAAGCTCTCGTCGCTTTTTTTCTTCGTGGCGGAGAACTTGCTTCAGTGTGCTCTGAGTTTGAAGTCTGTGTATTTTCTGTAGGATCTTTATTGCTATTCTTATTATTCTTATTGTTGTTGTTGTTGTTGTTATTGTTGTCGTCGTTGTTGTTGTCATTATTGATATTACTAATCTTGTTATTGTTGTTATTCATGACGATATTTTGACTGTGCATAATAAAGGTGTATTTGTTGTCGTCTCCGCTAACTACACTACTAGTTACTATTTTCTTCCGAGTCTTCGAGTGAAATTGCGCGTAATGGAAATTTTTGGTTGATGAATGATAGAAGTTACTTGAATTGGAATTTTTTCGTGTTTATTTGAATGTATGTTTAAGGTATTTATTTTTATTTGTGGTTATTGTTTAAATTATAAATATATAAAACGTGACGCGATCTTGTCGTAACAAAAAAAAATGAAATGAAGCGTCGCAGAACAGAGAAAATTAATAAAGGTCGAACGAAAAAAATGAACGATATGGAAAGCTGACTTCGTTTATGATAATATTTGTTATTTATTGCTAGTATTCCTAAGTTTTTTTATTTTTTTTGCAGATTCATTTTTTTTGGCAACGATTTTTTTTCAAACACATACAAAAGTGGAAAATTTATATGAGATAAGTCATTATTATTTATATTCTTAGTTATTTTTCATAGTATAAATAAAAAATAATTAAGATCTAATGAAGGTAAAAATAATTTAGTATGGTATAATTTAAATTATTTGAACTTTAAGTTAACCCAACTGTATGTATATATATATAAAAATATATAAAAAATATATATAAAATAATATATAAACAAATATCATATTCGGAAGTAAAGAAAAAAAAGTGACGCTGCTTAATCGGTCAAACTTTTTTATAGTCACATCAGAAATAATATAACCAGTAAGGTTGCTCGGATTATGCTTGGATCTGTATCAAGCGAATCAGCATCTCTGTGACGTAGTACCATGCAATTCATTATTTAAAGTTCATGTTCGTGTAATAAATTAATTTTTCAGCTACATCATCAGCTGCAACGACTTCGACAGCCGGACAACATCTCGATTATGCAATATTATATTATATTTTATTGGATAGGATGAAATTCACTGGTTCATTGATAAGTTCGACTCACTCATTCGTACATCTCGTTTTCCAGGCGCGTCTTGTACATTTACATATATTATTATTATAATATCTATCGTTTTCTTAGCGTCATAGCGTGAGAAACAACAAAGTGTCACATTTTATAAACCCTATAGCTCTTTGAATCACCCTCCCAGCGTCTCACTTCTTTGTTGCCTAATAAATTGAAAGGAAATCTTTTCTCTTTATATTATAATAATACAAATAATGCGCGTAATCGTACATATCATTTTTTAGACGCGTCTAACACATTATCTGCCATGTCATAGCGTGAGAAACAAAGAAGTCACCCTTTTTCTCTTTCTTTGGGCTCTTTCCACACCACCTCACTTCTTGTTGTATAAAAAAATTAAAAGGTATATAATTTAATGTTGGAAAATCTTTTTTCCTTATATAATGTAATAATGCTTGTGTATATGCAATTTGAAGTAACCGTGCATGGTTTATTGTTGTGCTAATTGGGTGCTAATTCAAAAACACGTATTGTGTCTCGCGGCGTTTTGTGCTGGATACAGTTAAACCTTGATAGAATCAAGTGGCTAACAATCTGCCCAAGATCTTTATCTACATTAATACCATATATCCCGAAAATAAGCTACCCTTTTTTTTTGCGTGGTTTTTAACCGGAAATGAGGGGGAGAATAACTATTTTCGGGATTAGATTAAAATATAAATCCTCACATAAACTGAGGTTTAGATTTTCTACTGGGAGTCACTTCAGTGATTTAATTTAAAATGCAAAAATTTTTTGATCATGACGCATAATTACATAAGAAATTTTCAATGACCATTTCCAAATTTTACCGTACCGGTTGTCATTTATGTGGTATTATATCACCCCCGAAAATTGGAAAACGTTAAACTACATGATTTCCCGCTTTATATTCTCCGTATCATGTATGTGGCTAAAAATCATTGTCGCTGCACTGTACTTCAAGAGATACTCCGAAAATCAACAAATAATAAATAATAATGCAAAGCACTGACTATACATTCATATATAGATATATACAGATACATATACATGTATATATATGTATATATAATTTTATTCTAGGGTTGATATTTTTTTAAAATTTTCATCTTAGAAGTAATAATAAATCTACATCGTAAAAAAAAACAAAATGATGACGAAAAAAAAAATAACTGAAATTATCACACGTGTCCAATTAAATTAAACATTACACCACATCCTTATGCTTTACATACATATATATGCTCCATTATTTCTATTTGCCTTTCATCTCACGCGAGGACAAACGTGGCAATAAGTAGATTTATGACATCATGTTGTCCCTGGAGATATGACATGCAAGCCAGATATTACATGCATTTGCTTCATGTGTAATAATTTTTTTTATTAATTAAAATAAAATTTTGACAATAATAAACTATCTAGTCAATTCATACAAAATCCCATATACATACACATCTCATTGTGCAAATTAGAAAAATAATCTATCAAGGGAACAAAGAAAAGGAAAAAAAGGAGAATAGGAGAATAGGAAGAAAAAATAATCTTTCATTCTATTCGTGCATTTTAAATCTCGTAATTTGGTGCAGTCTTATTGCAAAAATTCATATACAGTAAAGATTTGCCTACAATGGCAAGGAAAATTCATTTCTATAAGAATATTAAATGAAGCAAGATAATCAAATCTGTCAATTTTTCCTAATAATCATATAATTCCATACCATAAAGATGCTTTGACGCATTGATTACTTGTGTACATGTGATATTGTGATGTTTCTGTGTACATATTTCTTTGTGTTCGGTTCAAGTATTTTCAATCTGATTATTCTTATCTTATCTCTCGTAGAGCATTGCGCACTGTCATTTACACTGCAATCTTTTATCATCATTTTGTATTTATTAATGATAGAACTGCAATCTTTGTGCGCATGTAAATATATATGTATGTCTGCGTGAACATGTATTAAAAACATATGACATGAACGCATACATACAAATCATATTTCACATTATTTTTTTATTACCTAATGGAGATATTTGGCGTACAGTTCATTGTTTGAATCGGACATCATCATTATTTAGAATTATCTTATCATTATCATCTATTGTTATCATGTGGTGTTACTCTATAATGGAATCCTGAATCTTATCTCATATTTCGCTCTCTATTAAGCGAGTCTTGGCTCACGCTGATAACAAATAAACAAAAGCACCAATGATTATCGATCGTTGTTTGAATAATCTAAGGATTGTTTCTATCTAAAAAAAATTCCAATTTAGCTTTTTTTAATTTTATTAGGAAATTTTTGACAATTTGATTCGTAATCGTAAATCATTTTTTACTTTTTTTGTTTGTTCATACACGTTCGAATATGCACGTTAGCTGTCATGTCAAATATTTTGTTTGGCATGTCTGTTTGATGATGCTCCTTCAAAGCACGAAGTAACAAATAATAATTGTACACGCGATTCTATATAAATTATGTATTTAGGGGATAATCAAGCGAAAGATGAAAGATAATTCGTTTCTTTCGAAATTGTCGTCCTTCTCGCGCCTCTTGCTCAGGATTTGTGTTGGTAGCGGTTGCATAAATAAAAATGATTTTCTTCGAGTAGCTTTAATAATCCCCGTAGCAGCATAATTCCATAAACTTTTATACTGCAAATTTTTGTGTAATGTTCGATGTCATTATGTCGAAGGCGTGTAAGTGTATGCACAACTTTCTACTATTTATTAAGAGAAACTTATTATAAAGTAGTTTAATTGTTTGATACCATTAATTCAGAAACCTCTCTTTAATTGCTCTGTTCACTACATAATAAAACAAAAAAAGGGCGTGGAATCCTAAAGGTAAAAGGTGTTGGAAAAATTTCAAGCCAATAGAAAAAGAATGTAACCTGTATAAACAAAAAGGTACTACTACCTCGAGCATTTAAGAATTTCAATTTCTATTTACAAAAGTTTTTCTGTAAGTCTGTACACGTAAACATTGATTTTTCGAAAAATTGTTTTTGAAAATTCATAAATTAAAAAAAGCGAATATCTTTATTGGAAGATGGATTTATGCATGTCACCGAAATAAATATCAGAATGTTTGTCGTTGGTAAAACCGCACGCCGAAAACATTTGGGATACCGAAATTAAAATGCAATCTTCGAACGTTAATATCTCGACACCCAATACTTAGGATCGTCTCATGTCGGGAGATCACAGTCAAAAAAAATTTCCCTCTATATAATATACATAACGAATTTTATAATAAACTCTTGAATAACTAATCTGGCTTTGGCTGTATATCATAAATGGTTTGATCTTTTGATTTTTCGGTTTCAAACCAGCGTTAATTGCGCCTAGTGGACTTTTAGACTCCTTTATTGAAATATTAAGTATTGCCTCATCAATTAACTTTGCATGAGTCCCTGAAAAAATTTTGTAATTTCATTTGCACGAGTCCTGCATTCCTCCGTCGCCATTTTTAACATTTTTTGTCACCGTGAAAGATAAACAGATTATAATGTGCCTCTTTTGAGGATACAGCAGTGCATTGCAGTAAGGGTGGGAGAAATTTACCGAAAAAAGTGATAGCAAAGGTGAACTATCACCGTTCAATTATTGTTTGTAATAGAAAATGAAAATCTGTTCTGTGTCTCCTAGGTTTTGGGCGTTCAATGAATATCATTGCGAAATTGTGTTATGTTTGCGCGACATTCAGCATTCATACTCGTACAAATAATGTTTGATTGTTTACGAATATGACGAATTTGTGACGGATTGATGCATATTATGTTCTATTCTGCAAAGTAGTGCTCGTCATACAGATTACTTTTGTTATGGGTCTCGGGCAAAACTATTTGCAAAATCAGAAATATTTCGCCTAGTGGACTTTCAATTTCGTCCTATAAGTTTGAACCCTAAATTGGGATCACTTTGTAGTTTCGTCCGAAACATCAAGAAGAAATTTTACACTTATCTACAGACCGAAACGTAAGTAACCTATATAAAGATGGCGAGCAGGAAGAAAGAAAAAAATTTTAAAAGCTTCTTTTTACAGCCTACATCACTAAATTTGATGACGGTCGATAATATCCATTTACTCTTAACTAATTGCAAGACAGACAAAGTCAATTTATTTTATGAACTATATCGTACTTTCCAATCAAGTTAAACCACATATACATTTAATCATCCTAACTTTTTTTTTTAGTTCCAGCCTTTATGAGGCATAGTACTCCCACGATCTTCTTAAGTCGCACTTTATTGTGTTCGAATGCGTGAAGATCCGACCTTAATTATATTTTTTCACTTTGCACTTTCTTAATTTGGCGTTTTTGCTGTTATTCATTTTTTTCTCGTGAAGTAACGAAAGTGAAATTCTTTCAATGAAGAATATTCAATCACAAAATATATTGATAAAATATGTTTTTATCGTACTGTATAGAACTACATTTGGCTTTGCTGATGATAACGAGGATCCCATTCCATTAATATCACAACTGGCTTGTTCAACCAGAAAATAAGTAATTTCGGTGATTATATTACGTGGTGACTGTTTTGGGGAGAATCTAAAAACGTATAACAAATATGAAAATTTCTCTCGCGTGCTTAATTAAACCATAGCTTGTAACAAGAAGGCTGGCTATATGCGGTTTGAAACCAATATCACACAGCAAAAGAATTAAGCGAATACAAGAACGAAACATCACGATCGGCTTAGTCAGAAATAATGAAATTGTGAATTGCGTTATTTACACTTGAGAATTTTAAAAATCTCAATTTACTAATAAATCTTACAGTTATTGAATGCAGGAACCGTAACATGTTTTGTAAAAGCTCAAGGAAGGTCAATGCACTCTCAAGGCTCAAGGGAATCGTAATTTATAACCTATGTGCGTAAACACCAATCTAAAATTCGTACAAAAATTTAATTTGATCCTGAAGA